CGGTGAGTCCCCGCGCGGACCCCACACTACCTGCTGGGCTGTGGGAGGCCTGGGTCCCCTCTGTGCGCCTCGGTCTAAGGGGGCCGGGGACCCTGGGGTGGAGAAGGAGCGGAGGCCGGGAGCGCGCTGAGCCCTCTCCGGGAGGTGCAGGGTGACCTTAGGGGACTTCTCTGTCCTGTGGTGGCCCAGGGTTCCACCCAGAGCACGACGTCCCAGGGCACCGATGAGTGGGCGGAGGGGCGGGCGGACGTTCGGTGCCCGAGACACGGGAAAGCGGAGGGCAGGCAGGTGAGGACTTGTGTGCGGACCCCACGCCAGGGCCCCGTCCCCACAGAGCGTGTCCGGACCTCACCGCGTCTCAGTTGCCTTTGCAGGTGCCTGTGGGTCCGGCCTGTGCCGTTACCAGGACCCGCCTTATCCCGACGCAGACTCAGGTTCGAAGTGTGGGCTGGAGGGGCGGTTCCGTGCCGGCTCCTGGGTGCAGGGAGGCTGAGGCGGGAGCCTCCCGGGGGCTAGGAAGTTGGAGGCTGCTTCGCGCCCCATCTCGGTTTTCGTAGCTGAGCTGAGCGGTCCCTGCGTGGGGGACAGGGATGGGAAACGGGCTGGGGAGGGAGGAGGAGGAGGTTGCTCACGGCCAAGGCGCGGCCACTGAAGGACACCCTGGGGCGTCGTGATCCGCAGGGGCAGGGCCGGGACCATGGCAGGACCGGGGTCTTGGGGTTCGGTGAGGGGAGGCCCTGCCCCGACACAGAGGGGCCCCCAAACCCTGAGGAATCTCTTGCAGACTCCGCCACGGGTCCCAGGGACCTGAGCTGCTACCGAGTGTTCGACCACAAGGGTCACTACGCGTGCTCCTGGCGGTACGACGGCCCCCAGGACGCGGTCAGCCACTTCCTGAGGTGCTGGTGAGGACGCTGCCCGCCCCTGAGCGCTGGCCCCTGTCCCCTCCCGCTACTGCCCACTCGCACGGAGTGACCCGCGCAGGCTCAAAAAACCCAAGGTCGGGGAGATGGTGTTTGGAGAGGGCTAAAAAGGGCCCTGTCCTATAATCCCAACTACTCAGGAGGCTGAGGCAGGAGCATCACATATTTAAACCCAGCAACTTAGCAAGACCTAAAAAATAAAGAAACAGAAAAGGCCGAAGACAGAGCTCAGTGTGATGGTCCCGGGTTCAGTAAGGCAAAGCCGGGATTTAGCTCAGTGGCGCCGCCGTCTGCCTCGCAAGTGGGAGGTCCCGAGTTCGATCCCGGTACCAAAAACAAAGAAGCAGCAGCAAAGCAAGACGGGGAGAGGAGAAGGCTCAGCAGTGCCACCCCTTCCCGCAGCGTTCACAGGTCCTGCTGCTACTTCTCGGCGGACAAAGCCACCCAGGTGCAGTTCTCGGAACAGGACGGGGTGTCTGTGCACAGTAATGTCACACTCTGGGTGGAGTCCCGGGCCGCCAACCGGACGGAGAGGTCGCCCGCGGTCACCCTACGGCTGTCGGAACTGGAATGGGGTCAGTGTCTCACCCGTCCCCACGGGCCGCGAGGCTACTGTGGGGTGAGGGCGGGCGGGGATCTGGGCACAGCCCAGGAGGTGGCAGCCCAGCCGGGGGAGTCCCACCTTCGGCAGCAAACTTATAGGCACCAAAAACTTGTGTCAATGGGAACAATATTGTACTGGGGTACAACTGCTTTATTGATTTATTTTCTGGTCTTTTGAGCCAGGTTCTCCCTATGGAGGCCAGGCTGGCCTTGAACTTGTGGTGATTGTCCTGCCTCAGCCTCCTAAGTGCTGGGATCACAGGCGTGTGCCACCACACTGGGCTTGCACTGCAATAACTTTGTTATTTTCTTCCGCGGAGCTGGGGATAAAACCCAGGGCCTCTCATGCACCAGGCAAACGTTCACCCCTGAGCTGCACCTCCAGTCCATAATTCAATATTTGTTTGAAAAAATTTCAACTGAAGCCAAAAAAAAAAAAAATCCACGGCCAGCAAAATATTGATGTATTACATAAAGCTGAAGATGGTGGTGAATGCCTGTAACTCCAGCTACTCTGGAGGCTGAGGCAGGAAGACCGAAAGCTCCAACCCAGCCCAGAAAATGTAGTGAGACCCTGTCTCAAAATAAAATACATAAAAGGGGTCGGGGCTGTACTCAGCAGCAGAGCGCTTGTCTAGCATGCATGAGGCCCCAGGCTCCAGCCCCAGCACTGCGTAGGAAGGAAAAGAAAATGTTTGAATACATAGCAACAAAACAACCCGGTGGTTACTAGGGGCAGGGATGGGGAGGAGGCAGGGAGACGGAGGCCAAACAGGACCAACTTGCAGGTGTGCAGTGTAAGAGAATCTGCAGATCTGAGGAGATTAGGCCCTGCTCACCAGGTGCACTGGCCAGGCAGCTGCAGGAGGGGGTGGGTGCATTTTGCTGCTTCCTATAGTAGTCATTACACTGTCTATATGCACAGCGACATGTCACATCATACACTTTGTACAATATAGAGGAGATCAGGTATGGCGTGATCAAGATGCAGCCAGCTTGTTTATGCCACTTGTTAGCGCAGCTCTTTGCAGTGAATCTGGCTTAGATTTCCCAAAAACACTCAATTATCTCCTGGCCAGCAATTTATAGGAGTCCCTGTCTTGCTACAGCTCTGCTGGGCATGGGAATTAATATTGTAAAGGCATTTGCACTAGGAGGAGTCTGTCCCTTGCAGTTGAATCCTCTCCCTTGTTACTTTCTTTTTTTCATTCAGTACGGGGGATTGAACCCAGAGCCTTCCAAATGAGCTACGTCCCCAGCCCTTTTTATTCTTTGAGACAAAGTCTTGCTAAGTTGCCTTGGCTGGGCTTGAAAACTAGGACCCTCCTGCCTCAGCCTCCCAAGTGGCTGAGCTCACAGGTGTGCCCCTGGCTTCTCTCTCTCTCTCTCTCTCTCTCTCTCTCTGGGTACGGGAATAGAACTCGGGACCTTGTGCTTGTGAGGCAGGCGGTGGAACCACTGAGCTAAATCCCCGGCTGGCTCCTCTTGACTGGATCACAGAGTTCTAGGTTCAGCTGGGAGCTGCCAGGGAGCCCCCGATTCTGATTTGGGGACACAGGTGGCTCCCCTGGGCCAGACGGAACAGGGGCAGAATTCGCAGCCGCGCCTCCCGGCGTTCCCTCGCTTCCAGTGCGATACGACCCCCCGGTGAGAGCAGCCAGGATGTCCCTGTCCCGCGGGGGGCTAAGGATGGAGTGGGAGAACCCTGGGGAGGACAGAGCCCAGATGCAGTTCCGGCGCCGCACACCCAGCAGCTCCTGGGAGTTGGTGAGTTTGTCCTGGATCGAAGGGGACACCGCCTGTCTTGGGGCACCCCATCTCTGCAGCTGCCGGCGCCCCACAGGCAGCGCCCCAGGTCTCTGGGACACGCGGGTCTGATTGGGGCCTCTCCCAGTCATGAACCCTCTGTGGCTCCCCATTACCTAAGGCGGCAGCGGGTCCTCAGCCTGCGGCCCGCTGCAAAGATGTGGTCTCTCTCCAGGG